AGCAAGTAGGGGAAGGGTGGGGGAGGGAAGGGGAGGGAGGGGCTCGCCCCACCATCCGCTCCACGATGATGATCTTGGGGCCCAGCTGCTTGTGGACGGCAAAGATGTGGATCAGCCGAAGTGCGAACACCATGAAGTCGACGGCCAGCACCGAGCGGCCGGCCTCAAACACTGAGGGCAGCATCCTGGAGGGGAGGACAGCTGGGCTGCCAGGCGGCCCCAAGGACACACGTCCTGGCCACAGGGCGGCCAGAACAGAGCCCGATTCAAGAGGCACCAGCAGCTTCGCATGGAGGCAGCCTGGCTCCAGGCAGTTGCTCCCGCGGGGCACAGACCTGCAGGTGACACCGATGACAAACAGGAAGATGGCCACCATGTCACACTTGTTCCAGTTGTCCTCCACGTAGAGCGTGAACTTCTTCACCAGGTTCGTGTCCTCATCCGTGAAGAAGCCCTGGTGGAGGGGACACAGTGCCCTGAAGCTGCCCAGCCTCCACCCCAGGTGGGAACGGCCGTGCCCAGACCTGGCTGCGACCATGGGGCCAGGGCTAAGTCTGGGATAAGGCTGAGGACAGTGGGGACATTCAGTCAGGACTCACTACAAGAAGGGTGCAGGATCAGTCTGTGTTCAGTGTTTGCTTGCAGTCTGTGATCAAGGTCAGGGTTCAGACTGACTGGGGACATGGGCTCAGTGTGGAGGTGGGACCAGGGCTCTGTCTGCAGATGGGACCGGGGCTCGGTCTACGCCCAGGGGCCAGGCTGAGATCTGGAGCCGGGACCAGGGATCAGTCTGGAGGTAGGACTGGGGCTCCATGTGGAGGTGGGACTGGGGCTAGGTCTGCAGATGGGACCGGGACTTGGTCTATGCCCAGGGTCTAGGGCTCAGCCCAGGGGCCAGGCTCAGGTCTGGTGATGGGACCAGGCTCAGTCTATGTCCAGGGGCCAGGCTCAGGTGTGAGGGACAATAGGGGCCCCTTGTGCCGCTGCTTTCCCGAGCTGAGGAGCTAAGGCCATGCAGGCCGGCTGAGCCCCGACTGACCTGCCGGATCTCCTCCAGCACCAACGTGAAGACCCAGAAGTAAAGGGCCACCTCCGGGCCCGAGGGCCCCGTGGGTGGCGGCTGGAAGTCCACCAGCAGGACGTAGGTGAACAGGAGGAGGAAGGCGAAGTACATGACCACATTCCCCAGGAACACGGTCACGGGGGCGCTCCAGAACTTCTGCCAGCGTGGGAGCAGGAAGGCGGCCCACAGCCCGCGGTGCTCCTGCAGAACCCTCAGCTCTTCATGGGGCTCCTCCACCCTGGACCACAGAGGAGGCCCCGGCGGTGAGCGGGAGGCTGGGTGCCCCAGCCCTGCCGCCCGTGGACCCCCCGCCCACCGTGGCCCAGTACCGGCCGGCCGGGCTGTTAAGCAGGCTCCTCTCCATGTCCAGGCTGTCCAGCTCCCTCAGGGCTTCTGGGCCTGTCCTCAGTGGGGCCTCGTCTCTGTGGGGCATGGGGTGCTCAGGCCAGGGAGGTCCCCACAGGCACCCTTGTGGCCCCACACACCGACCAGCAAGGAGCCTGGTGGGTGCAATAAGAGGGACAGAGGCCAGAGTGCCACCCGCCCGGAGGCTGTGCCAGGAGGGCTGCGGTGGTGCTGGGCATGGGGCCCCCGGTGGAGACACAACCCCTCCCCGGGGAGCCCAGCGGCCTCTGGTGTACCTGAAGGTGAGGAGGGTGGTGTAGAGAAGGGCGGGGCAGATGAAGGCGCCCAACAGACGCAGGATGGGTGTGCCCGTGGCCATGTCCCCCCACCAGATCCGCGTCAGGAAGGCCTGCAAAACAGGCGGCCACTGCCCCACCGCCACACGGCGCTGCCCGGGCAGGACACCTGCCCCAGTGCCCGCTCCAGCCCACTGCTCTCCACCTGCCCTTGGGAGGGGCCTGGCAGGCAGATGCCCTCAGCTGAAAGCTAAGTGTACCAGGGAGGCCCTAGTGCAGGGCTGAGCCCAAGGCAGAGGGGAGCAAACTGAGACCCCAGGTGGGGCAAGGGGCTGGGGTGCCAAGGGGCAGGAGGTACAGAGGCAGGGGCGTGTGGGGGCCCAGTTCCACCCGCCGCCCACTCACCTGCACGCCGTCATTGGCAAAGAAGGCCTTGGCGTCAGCCTCGGTGGCCAGGTGCAGGCAGGTGGTCCTGCCCCAGCTGCGGTTCCGGCGCACCAGCAGCGCGAAGGCGTGGTCCTCGCTGTTGCTATAGCACTCGGAAAACAGCTCTGCAACACCGGAGGGTGCGGCCAGGCCGCCCAGCCAGTCAGCAAGCCCTCCTCCACCTCCCGAGCCGTCCCGTCCCCGTCCCCGGGCCCGCCCGCCTCCACCTCCAGGGCCCAGACCCACCACCACCTCCCAGGCCCTGCCCCTCTCTGCCTGTGTTTGGTCCTTGGTAGCACAGAGATTCATCCAGGGGGTCTGAGAACCTCTGGAGTTCCCCCCACACACACACGTGTCTGTCACCCACTTCCAGGATCCCTACCTCTAAATGTCCCTGCCCCCTGGCTGTGCCACACCCCCAATGTCCCCACATCCCTTAGTGTCCCCACCACCCCCAAGTGTCACTCACCCCCCGAGGGTCCCGACCTCTGAGTCCATACCCCCTTGTGGCCCCAGTCCTGAAATGTTGCTGTCTACCTGGGTGTCCTCAACCCTAAAGTGTCCCTGGTGCCCAAATGTCTCACGACCCTGGGTGTCCCCACACCCCGTTTCCCCACCCCATGCAGGACCCCATATCTGCCCGGTGTGGGGCTGTGTCATCATCACACACTCCCCCCCACGCAGGATTCCAGGGTCCCCTCCACCCCAGAAGAAGCCACTGCCTTGGTAGGCTTAAGGAGCAGAAATAGGCAGGGACCCCTTCAACCCTGCCCCACTCACCCAGCGCCAGCTGCTCATACTTGGCTTCCCGCATGGTTCGAGCCACCTCAGCCTCCGTCTCCAGGTGGGACATCTCTTTGAGGATCTTGCAGGCAGCCAGTGCGGCAGCTACGCCCTCCTGTCCCTGGGAGACCTCGTCTGAGGTGGGCACCCCTCCCTGGCACCTCCAGGTGTCCCCCCCTCCTGGGATCCCCAGGGGAATGCTCTTGGTGTGAGGCTAGGAAGAGGCCCTGCCCGGTGCCAGCGGCCATGGCACTCACCATGGCCCAGAAGTAGGTGGCCATCTCATGGCGGTTCTGCAGGACAGCCCACAGGAACAGGTCCCGCCAGGGGTCCTCGCTCCTCTGGCTCAGGTCCAGTGGCCACTTGTGCCCTGTGGGCCGTTTGGCCAGACCCTTATCCTGGAGAGTAAAGACACCAGCCTCTGTGCTGGGGCCCCTGCCAGGGCCCTGGATCCCGCCCCCCCCCCCCAGCCTCTCCTGCCTCTCCCTGGCCCCCTGCCACCTGCCTGCAGCCCCTCACTGCCTGCCCCTG